CACCTGAGAGGGCAGCGATGCAAGGATACTGCTCAGAACATCATGCAATCTCTGCATTTGAGCAAACAATATTCAAAAGTGATACATGATTGGGTGAACTCGAGAAGCAGGCTCACATGGTGCAGTCCAGGCGCTCCAGATGCAGCTTCTCCCCCAGGGTGTCCAATTCGGTCCAGAAGTTGGCGTCCATCAGCAGGATGAGCACAGTGTTCTCGCGAATGGCCTTCGTGAAGTAGCCCTGCCACGTGGTCCAGGCCGCCATGATGCGCGTGTAAAAGCGCTCCGGCTCTCCTCCCACGGCCATCACAATCGCGCTCCGGCCGTCAGACGGATCTGCTGGCCACCTGCACAGACACGCATGAAGAGCAGTCACTCCCAGCATCGCCAAGCATCCCCTGAGGGCCACAAACGTGCCTGGCACCCATCTTCATAGGAGCCGTGTTCTCTCCTAAAGTCCTGCATGCTGCTGTGCTTAGGTCTGGCAATCCCCTGGAAAGCTGGCTTCACAAAGTATGGCTGTGTTCAACCATGCCTTCATGCCCCTGTCCTTGCCATGGAATGAGTTGGTGCATGGCTTGGACGGTGTCATGCCTGCGATTGGGGGTATAGGTGAGGAAGTCAGTTGGATGGGGCCCCGGGCGCGCAGACGAGCACTGGTGGCCCAGCACGCCATGGGGTAGCTGGTCCAGCCCGAGGCTCTTGTTCCAGAAGGTGCGCCCCTGCACCTCAAACATGGTGGCTGGGTCTGGCCCATGCACAACGTCCCCTGGGTGGCCCTCCCCTTCTGCCGAGCATAGTGCTAGGAAACTTGCAGCTATAAGTAGCTGCAGTGCCCTCCAGGCACCAGGGGGCCTCCACGGCCAGCTCTGCCTCTGCCTCATGCCCCGTGTTGGGGCTCACCTGCAGTTTCAAGGGATTTCGTGGGAAAGGTGCTGTCTTTGATGATCTGGGATGGTATGCAAGCAGAAAACAGCTTATCTGGGGCAGTCTGGAACGCACCCCGTTGCTATTTTATAGCACTATTTAGCAAGCAGCGCATGTGGTTCTAGGTCTCCTTATGATTTTGGGTAAATCTGCAGGAACTACTTCACATCATCACGGGGTCTGATGCCTATGAAAACCTCAGGCACCTGGATTACACGTCTGACCAACCTGCAAGAGGCCAGAACCCAAGATCGAGCGTGCACCAGTCTGATGCTGTGCAGTTCAATTTCAAACGCTTCGTGTGTTCAGGTAAGTTGTTGCAAGACCCCGCTGATCGATTTTAGTGACAGCTACCTCAGAGAACGCAGATGCCCGTAAGCGACGAAGCAATAAAGCGCCGAATAAAAGTTGATCAAGAGGCAGCGAGGAAAAACGCAAATAACAAACACAAAAAGTGCCCAGGTCGTGTGTTTGTGATAAACTCAGCTAAACTGACAGTGGTGACCCTACCTAGCTACAACACGTTCAGAGGCGTTCCAGACAAGCTTGCCAGCAACGAAACAGGCCTCCGGAACGACGACCTCAACGCATCAAAAAGCGCACTGGCTTTCGTTCACGATTTTGATCTGATAAGATTTTTCCACAAAGGTCTTGAAGCGGGGTCTTTGCCCAGGGCACTGTATCGGACTGCGCTGTCGTTGACGACGCAAGCGATCGGAAGGCTTCTCGTTTGGGTTTCAAGCAATGTAACTGTATGAGCACAACATATAATTTGATTGGAGGTATATCTGCGGCAGTGGGCCCAGGGTTCAATGAAGATCGTCATGAACTGAAAAGGTTACTTGCCACTGACTGGATTCGCCTGAGCTTTTCTTGTAGAAGACCAGACATAATTCACGTCGGCAGCACGTACCTCCAAACAGGTTGAAAAGTAATCAAACTTTATCCCTAATGTCAGATTTCAGGTTCATGCCTTCTGTAAGCCTACTCCTCTCTGAGTACTGCCACTGCTCCAGCACTGTGTCTGCCCTGAACAGGGGTTCATGAGACAACGATTGTTGAGGCAAAAGCCAAGAGGGGCACCAGCCATGGTCGTCCCGTTGCCTAAATTAACCCTCACTCTGCTGTTGCTGCTGCCTCTGCTGGCCAGCGCGTACAGAGTCAGGGGGGCCGCCTCGATTGGTGATGACATGCATCATGAGGTGCCCGGACACAGATATAAGGGGCCCTATCACAGCCATGGTGGCGTTCTGCAAAAGGTCAGAATCTGCCATTACATCCCTCATGTGCATGTGGATGCATTGCTGTGGAAGGCTGGTTACAAGGCCCAAGAGATGGCCCACAATTGCGTTGAGCATGTATCCTTCAAATGCAAGGATTATGCAGCCAGCTGATCGGGTGGAACGGCTTCATTTGTGATAAGGCAAAATTTGTGATAAAAGCAAGTCATCAGCATGTCTGAGTGAGTGCATGACAACAAATACGACTGAATCTTGGACCGGATCAAAACATGCAAGCCACACATTGCTGCAGCTTGTGCCCTTCCATATTTTTGAACTACAGTGACATGCAAGCTCTGGGTGGCTTGAGCACACATGCAGTGCATGACATGTGCTGTGTGGCTTTTATGGACAGATGAGGGCGCTGCAGCGGATGAGGGCGGCGGAGTGGGAAATGCGGATGCAGCCACTAGAGGACCTGCTGGAGAGCTACAGGGAGCGGCACAACACATGCGTCAACAGCGAGACCCTCCCGGGGAAGTATTTGGTTGTGCGCTTTGAGGACAAGGACGCCGGAATAGGCAATCAGCTTCCCAGCGTCGTTTCAGGTCCCCCATCTTCACTCCTATCCAGTTTTCAAATTACCTGCCCACAAGGTGTTTGCAGCCCTGCAGCGAGTCATGGCTGATAGCCAAAGCTTGCTTTCGAGTTCTTTGACGAATCCCTTGTTTCATCTTTTTGCAGAGGTCTCACACACAACGTGCCTTTGTACTGTCTTAAGGGAAAGAATAATTCATGTGTGGAAGTCATGCAGGACTGCTGCTTGCACTGATGATGGACCGGTGTCTGTTTGTGGACTTCCCCTTCTTCAACAAGTTCTTTGACCACGAGCTGGACTTCAGCTGGAAGCGCCATGCCAAGCGTCTGCTTGCACATGGGCACAATGCGACGGCGCCCGAGAACATGGCCGAGCGCATTCCCTTCGGCTACGTGACCATTGCCGACGTGTGGATGTTCAAGAACATGACTGAGTACTTTGGCAAGCACTATGGAGTTGAAATGTGGAAGGACCTTGACTGGAGTGCTGCCCTGCTAGTCAATAACCCCAACCACCAGGTGAGGAAGCATTACCACTTAGCACATTATTGAAGTCTCATCGCTCCATTGCTCAGCTTTGGCCGGCTGTCATCGCTTCATCATTTGAACCTTTGAGAGTCTTGGCTCGCAACATGTTGCACTGCCATATATGGAATGGACAGGATCAATGGCCCTTCCTTCAAGCTAGTAAAGCAAGCGTACCATATGTATTTGAGGAAAAGCATTGGAGTGTCTGCTGGCATTATCAAGATGCCGGCATTAGAAATGATTTGGCTGGGAAGGCTGGAAAGGCTGGGGCGAGCTGAACACTGTTCAATCTTTTCCGTAGGATTTTATTGACACATACTTCCCGACAAGGGACATCTTTGCGCCGCTGGCATCCTTCATCCTGCGCATAAAGCCCAAGTACGATAAGAAGATCAAGGAGTTCAAGCACAAGAATTTCAAGCTGTTCAACATTGGCATGCAGGTTTGAATCTCCCCATTTTCCCTCCAATACATGTTCTGTTCTCATAGCACCACCATTGACATCAGACGCAGCAGAGCTAACATGGCAGAGACAAGTGCTCGTGCATGTCAGCTGCAGTGACTGTCATGACAAAGAAGCAAAACATCAGGTTGCATCAGATTGTCCCCATGCCGGCACTGTTGTGAATCTGAGTCCTCACATGCAACACCTGCTTTCCAAAATCAGAATCTTGCAGTCAGTTACGACCGCTGCCTGTGATATTTTTGCCACAGCAAAAGGTCAACCACTGCTTTTAGCAACTTAGTCTGAAGGTCATGATGGAAGTTAAGAGGGAAAATTTGTGCGGTGCAGATCCGGCGGCGGAAGTGTAACGGGGACCCAAACGAGCTGCTGTGTGAGCTGCGGCCGACCATCGAGTCGTACTGCACTGTCGCACGCCACATCCAGTTGAGCCACGGCATCCACGACAATGACGTCCGCTTCTTCCTTGCAGCCGATGAAGCGGAAACTTACACCCAGGTGACGTGCTGCACAGACCTTCACCATTCACATTCCTTACCAACAGAAGCAGTCTATACATTGTCAGCACCCTGGTGGACTTTCATCATCAACGAACTCTGAAGGTGAGCTCCAAGATGATGAGAAGCATTCACACGTCATCAGTACTATACAAAGCGAGTACACTGCCCTATCTTACTGACATCAGCCTCAGATGCATGCATTTGGATTTTGAACTGGCCGTTGCACATCACGGCGACATAGGCAGGGGATACAGAGCTTTCCTGTCAGAAGCGACCACTGCTTCAACGCGCCAGGTTGATACTGCAGGTGATCAGCATATTGGGGGCAGATCGGGTGATATTCACGGACAATGGCATCGCGCCGAGCAGCAGCGAGAAGGGGGTGATAAATGCGGCGGACAACCCGGGGACGCTGGAGAGCGCGTTGCAGGACATGGCACTCATGAGCCACTGCAATGACCTCGTCATGACTGTCGCCTCCTCCTTTGGCTACGTCGCCGCTGCATGGGGCGGCTACGCTCCGGTGAGAAACCCCCTTGGAATACTTGTAGCAAGTGTGAGTATGCTTTTGTGAATGCATCTGAACAACCTCTGAAGATGTTGAGGTCCCTGAGAGCCTGGGCTACTCCACTCTGGTTGTACTTGCTTACATGGGAAGCCCACGGTCCTCTGGTCTTCAGGGTAGCCCCGTTGTGCCTTCGTGAAATTATGAGTAACAAAAATGGCATCGCGAAGAATTACCTGGTCAGGAAAGGGACAAAAGTGGTGCGCCCGGGGAGGGGTTTGAACCCTCGACCACACGTTTAAGAGCCGAGCGCTCTACCAGCTGAGCTACACGGGCTGTGCCCCAATGCATGCACAGCTTGATAGTGTTTGCTTCTATGTAGTTGTCATAATCGAGAGAGTTCCTGGCCAGCACTTGCAAGTCAGTGCTGGTCAGGGGAAGATGTTATCATGTGCATGCACCGCAACACTCATGCGTGGGCATTATGTGCTTTCTACTGGGTATAACGCGAAGATCTGTGGCCACAGGTGCATATGGTGTACGGGACGCACAAGACGTCGCAGAACCCGTACTGGTACCGCGCCATCAGCAGCGAGCCCTGCTACTGGCAAGCCAAAAACATGATGCGCGAGCTGGACGCCAGAGCGGTGTGTGCATTGTCTTGAAGCCCTTCCATGCATCAATGATCATTGTGCTTCTGCAGGCTTCATCACTCCTCATCATTTTCCTGATACTCTGTTGTCCTGATAGACAACCCCTTACCCCAGTCGTACAATCATGTTCCTGCACTGCATCTTGGAACATCTTGACTGGTTGTATGAATGTGACAAGTCTGCCCTGAGTGCCGTGAGGATGGTTTCTCATGAATGCTTCTCAGGAGAGACATTAAGGGAACCTTGAGTGTGTGATGATTGTGCTTGATGCAGGTGCATCGGTTCAAGTCCAACCCACTGTGGATGCAGTACACACAGTGCCACAATGACTGGAACACAGAGCCAGCAGATGCAGAGGAGGAAGAGGAGGAACGCTAGAGTGCCACAGAAAGGAGGGGGATTTGTACTTTATAATAGCTGCCCACGAAGAGTCCTGACAACTTCCTGAAAGGGAGACAGACCCCTGAGAATGCCCAACAGACTGAGGAGGCTACTTTGTTCAGGAGCAGCAAAATAGAGCACAATGCAATGGAAATGAGGCTGCAGCAAGGGCTGACTGGGATCTGACAAGGGAGTGCTATAAGAAAGAGCATGATAGGAGGGGACAATATTGAAAGGGAAAATAAGGCCGGTTTACTTGTTATCATTGTCGAACCAGGGTGACTGGAAGTCTGAACAATGTGTGGTGCGGGTGCGTTTAGAGGCATAGCATGAAAAGAATGCTTGCAGAAGTGTGTGATTCCTGAAGGACAGGAGGGAAGGTTGAATACTGGTCAATCCGATAGTCTGCAATTCAGAACTTGGAAGGCATGCTCAGCATGACATGCAGAGCAGATTGCATGCACAACGCTTTAGACCCAATAATTTTTTACAAGCTTCTGGCAATCGCATGTTTCATCCAACAGTACATTCTGCTGTTACTAAATGGGTCCCTGATTTGTTAAGCTGCTTCTATGCACATTTCACAGCAGAACTGATTGCAATTGATTCAGGGCTGTGTCAACACTAGCAGGATGCTTATGGCGCAGCAAGACCATATGCAATTTGAACTAGCTAGAACAGTCGACCACAGTCTTTATATGCTCTTGCTATTGGAGACAGCAGTCACATTTGCAAGTGTCTTGCAGAAATCTGAGAAATCCGCGCTTCCGAAGTGCCGAAGCACCCAAACACACCACACAATCATTTGTGCAATTTATGCCTTCAGGGGCATGCTTCAATGTTGTGCCAATGCAAAACCTATTATGACATCAAAAAAATAAAAAAAGTGGTCGGTCTGAAAGATCTAATGAAGGTCATAAGCCAAAGGATTCAGTTGTATAATAGCAAGGCACCTATTGGAGGGTGCAGAACCCAATTTGAGCATGTACGTACACATAAGATATGATGTATACATAAGATGTTATAACAACATTTGTCAAAAGGGATTTTGAGAGGCAAGATAGCTGAGCACAACTGCCGCCGTTTGAAACTTGCCAGTAAGATTATGACCGGGAGAGCTCTTCTATACCTCACCGAAGTGCCAATGTGCTCTCTCACCACCAACATCAAAGAGAGCCGCTCCTCACAAGCTGCATGCATCAGCAATGCTGCCGCTGCAGTGCAGTCTCAGCCCCAGTGCACACCAGCAATTTTGTATATGCTGTCTCCGGCCGCAGCCCACAATATCAATTTTGTGAAGAATAGGACGTCCAGCATGTGTTGGACCCCCCGACTGTGCACCCCAACCGGCTTGTCGGCCAGGGGGGGTACCACACCTGCAACCAACCAGCAGTCATCATCCAAGGCCAACCCCAAATGGTATTGTTCTAGTCAGAACAGCAGCCAGGAGTTTCTTTGGCCCTCGAACTTTGACACAAGAAGACTGCACTGTCTGACATCTCTGCACAAGTCCCGCTCTTGGGAGCATTCCCTTGCAGAAATCAGAACAGCAGTGAATTGATTGGAATTAAAACATGTGACTCAAACCCAACCAGAGACTCGCCAGGATGTTCTAATGGATTGGTTTGGATTGGTCAGGAATGGACCGGTATGGATTGATCTGGACTTGAAGATGGTGGCCTGGCAGGTAATGGGAGCACACCTGAACCGGGTTGCACTGCTGCGTGAGATCTGGCATGGTGCGTGCTTTCTGCACCAGGCCCTGACGCTCCAGGAACTGGAAAGCCTTCAGCGCATTCAGCCGTCCCTGCAGCAGAGCCGAGAGAGTCTTATCCCACAGCACAAACAGTGAGCGTATCTAGACTACCTAGAGGTAGCACAGCCGCACACATGGCAGCGTGTTTGAACAAGTCATGCCTGTCTGGGGCGCAAACATTACATGCTTCGTCAAAGAGTCTGCGAGCGCGTTCTCTGCCGCGGTCATGTGCAATACTCAAGAACTGCACTACACCATTCACAATGTTAGCTCATGTTGAGACCACACGATTGTCCCGAGTGACGGGGACAACTGGCGGGTGGTACTTGATTTGTGGTGGCTAAGGTAACTTAAATGCACAACAATTTGCACAGACTTCTACAGCATGGCCAGTGTCTGGTTGAAGTGAGGGATGAAGGCGCAGGGCGCACATTCGTGTTGACCTTGCCTTGAGTGGTGCTCAAAACATCGACGCCGGCGCGGAAGGCGGCGCGGATGGACTCGGGGGTGAGCCCCGGGTTGGCCGCAACCATGAGCGCGGCAAGACCGCCTCCCACCGCCGCCGCATCCGATGTTGATCCCGTCGGCGCCGCCACATCTATCCACGACCTGCCACCGCAAAGGAAACGCTCCGTTGATCAACCTTTGAAGATGTGTACTGGGTTGGTTTCTCTGCCGCTGCCCAGAAGCGTCAACTGTGGCGCAGAGCCACTTTGCGGCAGCCTGCTCCCGTGCTCATTATATTTTATTTAGGGTTTAGGGTCACCCTTCAAACCCTAGATTTAACCTTAAAATATAAAAATTATAAATAATAACCCTAATCCCTAAAATAAAATAAAATAACAAAGTAAAAAAATATGCACAGCAGCTGCGCCCAAACGGTCCAGCCTGAAAGCCCGAAACACTTGGAGTGCGCCGAGCAGGCATGCATAGCTGCATGTGCATGCATGGGAAAATCCAACCAGTGCACACAGCCGCCACAAAAAACTTTGACTGGAACACGGGGATGGCGCTCGGTAGAGCGTGGGCCGCACCCGGTGTTGCCGCGGACCACGTCTGATGCGTCGGAGAAGGTGAGCGGGATGATGTTGGACAAGCCGAGCGAGCCCGGCACATGCACCGGCGACTGCCCGTTGCCCGCTGATGCCGTGAAGAGAGCGCGCGTGCGGCCCCTGCTGTCTGCGCACCACCCCATACTTAGCCGCATTCATTTTGAGCATATGTCTGTTGCAGTCTGAGAGCGGTGGCCATTCAGATGGGCACAAACCCAGTCCAGCTTAGCAGGAAGAGCTGCAGACAGCTGCGGACCTCTCGCATGAAAAATGCCTGACTTGTAAAGAGGGAATAAATTCATTTCGGAGTACTCTGAAGCCTGATGAGCAAGATGGAACAGTAGAACTCAAACAGCGACCAGCTGGCGTATAACGGCGCGCTATAAGTGTTCGAGCCCAACCGTTGATGAAAATCCAAATCTGTACAGGACAATAACAAGGGAAGATATGAGGCACTTGCAAATCGGCCACCCACAAGAAATCTTTGCTGTCAACATGGCAAAAGTGCAGCTCTGCGCACTATCACCGCTGATGACTGAGCACTGCACACCGATAGCGATGAGGCTGCTGGTGCGCCCGATAGCTGTAGGACCCCTCGAAACTCCTCTTCAACATCAGCTCATGCAAGACTGCTGCTCACCGGCGCCCTGCATGACAGCCCGAAGCGAGTCGGAGTCGAGGAGGCTATTGGAGCCCCAGGCCATGGTGTAGATGCCCGTGCGCTGGCGGCCACCCATCGTGGCGATGTTCTCAAAGTTGTTCTTGCACCACTCGATGCACGAGATGGCTGCGCTGAAAGGCACGTTCAGGTTGGAGTCCATTGCCACGCATGGCATTATAGACACCTGCAGCCACCACACATTCTGATCAGACCTTCTGAGTTGTGAGCTTGGGTAAAACTTGCGTTTTCAAGATCAACTACACGGCAACATGGACGGTTACATTCGCCGGCCTCTGTAAAAGACTGGATGAGACTGAACCCAGAACGATGCATTCTTGAGGACTGACATCGTGAGATTGCAAGGAGTTGCAGCTGGGGAGGGGAAAAGGTGCAGTCAAGTGCTGTGACTTCACCCCTTTGGATGCCAGAAGGAGCGGTGCTCCAAATAGCTATGAACTGACAGAGACATATGAACTCCAAATCGGGGCACCAAGAGAGCCATCACATGTCCCAAATGGTTCTACAGCCACAGGACACCAAGACTGCTATGTAACGCAACCTAGTGCCACAAGAAGATGAGCAAATGCATTTGTCACAAGTATCACACCATGGCCTATACATAAATGGCCCACGCTAGACTGCTCGGAGTCGTGTGGGTAGGAGAAAGGACAGAAGAGACAGGGACCGACCTTGGGTGAGACGCCCAGCTGTGCATTGGGGTCGCCATGACTGTATCATCTCACTGTGAATGTGGGATGGTACATTAAACAGAGAAAGAAACAGGGCGAGGGGATTGACCTTGGGTGAGACTCCCAGTTGTGTGTTGGCGTTGC